ATACAAGTTACTGGGAAGAATTCCATGACTTTTCTGCATCTTACAAAGTTATCCCTGCTAAAGAAAGTTCCTAGTTTATTAAGGAATAGTGAAATGTCCCAGCATCCCCATCCACCTTGTCCTTCTGAAGTATTGGAATACGTAAAAACAAAATAGATGTGGATGTTAGCCTGGAGTAGGAAGGCATGGTGGTTTTCTTCCTAATCACTTCACGAAAGGTAAATGCATTCTCATAACTTTTATATAGGCTTTGTACTGACCTAGTTTTTAATCTTGATTGACTGACCTGCTCTCCTTCAGTGACAAGGTGACCCACTTAGTGTATGAGGGAAGGGCTTATCTTGTTTATATGAACCTTAGTGGAGCCTTTGGCATCATTTCCCACAGTATTCTGTAGAAACTGGCTGCTTAGGGCTCAGACAAGTGCGCTCTTTGCTGGGTAAAAAGCTCTCTGGATGGCCAGGCCTAGAGACTGGTGGGAAATGGAATGAAATCCATCTAGTCATTGGTCACAGGTGGTGTTCCCAAGGGCTCAGTACTGAGGCTGGTTCTATTTAATGATTTTATCAACAACCTGTGTCAGGGGATTAAGTGCTGCTTCAGTCAGCCTGCAGATAACACCAAATTGGGTGGGAGTGTTGATCTGGAGGGCAGGAAGGCTCTACAGGGTTATCTGGACAGGATGGATTGGTAGGCTGAGCCAGTGATATGAAACTGAACAAGGCCCAGTGCCATGTCCTGCCCTTGGATCAAAACAACCCTATGCAGTGCTACAGGTTGGGGGCAAAGTGGTTGAAAAACTTTCCAGCAGAAAAGGAGCTGGGGATGCTGGTCAACAGCAACTGAACATGAGCCAGGAGTGTGTCCAGGTGGCTAAGAAGGCCAATGGCATCCTGGCCTGTATCAGCAATAGTGTGGTCAGTAGGACCAGGGCTGTAATTGTTCCCCTGTACTCATCATTGGTGAGGCCACACCTCGAGTTCTTGTTCAGTTCTGGGCCCCTCATGACAGGAAGGACATTGAAGTGCTGGAGCAAGTATGGAGAAGGGAAAAGGAGCTGGTGAAAGGGTCTGGAGTGCAAGTCCTGTGAAGAGCCACTGAGGGAGATGAGGTTGTTTAGTCTGGAGAAAAGGAGGCTTGGGTAGACCTTCTAAGTCTCCACCTGAGAGGAGGCTGAACCCAGGTAGGGATCAGTCTCTTCTCCCAGGAAGCAAGTGATATAAGATGAGGAAGTGACCTCAAACTATGCCAGGTGAGGGTTAGACTGGATATTTGGAAATATTTCTGTGCTGAAATAGTGGTCAAACCAGGCTGTCCAGGGCAGTATTGGAGCCCTAAAGGTGTTTAAAAGATGTGTAGATGTGGCATTAAGGGACATGGTTTAGTGATGTGCTTGGCTGAATCTGTAGTTTATAGTGCCAGCAACTATAGTAAAGTGAGTGAGTGCTACTGACAAACCAGCCAAGCTTACCAGCATGGACAGGCAGGTGCATCTCCTAAGGGGGAGATGGGAGGAACTGACTGTTGGGGTGACCAAGTGAGTCTGGATGGCTTCCAGGGACACAGCAGGATCTGGAAGTCTCCATTGTGAAAACGATGGTGAATGTGTTTTTTTTCTGTTTCAGAGCAATCCTGTTTTTTTCTGTGCTCAGTTATTAAGATACAGCTACTGCTTTATTGAAGGTAGAGTTCTGGTGCCATCTGGTGGTGTTAGGACATTCCCAGGAATGAGAAAAACCCCTTGCGAGGAATTCCACTGAGATGTGAAAAATTGCTGGCATGATATTAAAAAAGTACGTGGATATATTTTCTGCCTTAGCATGTAATTATTCTCTTGAATTAAGTCATAAAAATCTGCACATGTACTCATAACTAAGTTTGCTACAGCAAATTTAAATATTTAATCTATTACTTTATGCTCAACAGAAAGGTTTGTTTCTAGTAGTATCTTTTATGAAACATTGCTTTGCAAACACAACATAAAAGAGTTTTATTGGAGCTTACAGTATTTTAAAACTAATTTTAAAAGACAAAATATTTTCTGTTACGCCATTTTGCGAAACCCAGCACAAACTTCTCACTGCTAATGTTTGAAGTCACTGTGTTCTTTTATATATCGCTTATATATTGTTTCAAAGTAAAAGTTCAACAACATACAACTGACAACAGTTGAAATAAAAAACCTTGGTATCTGAAGCAAAAGCAACCACAATACTGTTTTCTTTGTCCGTCTGTTGAAATCGTGTCCTGCACCTTAAGTTGCTTACCTGGGATAATATCCTCATCCTTCTTCAGAATACTGTACTGGCTGTATTGATGTTTCTAGAAATGGAAGTAGGACTATGACTGCTTCTCCAGTTCTCTTGAAGTAAATGTCTGACTGATAAGTATCTTGCCCTAGAGTGGAAAAACTTGTAAAAGAGAAAGGTACTTTATTTTAAGCTGGTGAGGCTTTTTAATTAATTTTATTTAGCTGTTACTCTTCATTTGTTGCGGGTCACCATATTATTTGAATAAATTATTTTAAAATAAATTTCCTTATGGAACAGAGGTCTGTTTGTTCAGTCATTAACAACTTCTTTCTATTGCAACTGATTGGAGAAACAGACTATTTTATTTATAGTTGAAAAAGACAAATTCTGTGCTTGTATCTCTTCATAATCTCTGACCTCATGACCATACAACACTTTACTTGCATTGTGATGGCAGTGTGAATTAGACTTAATTCTAATAACTAACTGCATTAGTTCTCTTATTACATTGTGTTCACAATATCAGGAGCCATTTTTTAATTCTGTCTTTATGGAATAAGGTGTTTCCAGGCCTGTTCAGCTAGTATAGTTTGTGGAATTAGATAATTTAATGTTAATATTTAAATTAATAGTTAAGATGTTAATTTATCAATATTTGTTGGTCAACTTTGATTGCAATAGGAAGGTTAATTCAGCTCATTGAAAATCTAGGTTTAACTAGTGAGTGAGATGCGTGACTTTTGTGATCTCACAAAAGTGAGATGATTATGCCCGATGTAAGCCACACAATCATAACATCAGATTTGAAATTCTTCTTTTCCACACTTAGTTTTGAATCTGAACAAAGATCTATTGTTGTAGTGCTTTGTTCTTAGAGCTGTGACTTTCACCTTAAATACACTGTCCTTGTGAGTTGAGGTACACCTCTTGCTTCCAGTACAGTTGTTATTCAGCTTTCGGTGCTGTATGACTTTAGTACCTTTCAGCAAAATTATTCAGCTAAACTGTTATTATTTACTACTCAGGGTTCCCCCACTGTGAGCATTATCTTTCTGGTTTTTAATGAATTAACATTATTGTGCTATGTTTCAGCGAAAGAAAAATACGTATGCTTGTTCTGTTAAAATAGAGCAAAGTTGTAATGGTTTGTAAATCTGCCATTCTCTTCATTTCTGAATTTGTACCTGGTAAGAATAACTTCCCGTCTTGTTGTACCACAAAGCTAGGTGGTACAAACTACAGTTAGTTTGATAATCTGACAAGTTGTTAATAGCAATCCCAGCACTTAAAAAATCATTAAAGAAAATATTAGTGCTCACTTCTAGCTTACTACAAGATCAGTACAATGATCCACTTGCCCAGTCTCCAGCAACCATCTAAATCTAAAAATGAACTGAATTTCCCTGTTGTTAGCTTTCATAGTGCATCACTAGCACCCTGTAACTAGAACTGGAAGAATATAGTGATGATTTAGGACCAATTTGGTTGTTTTTTTTTCCTCACAGATTGAGTGCCACTTCCTTTTTCAATGAAGCAAAGTGTAACCTTGTCCTCTTCCAGCAGTAGCAAGGGAAGATGTGTGACAAGGCCTTTTGGAAGACTGGTTACTCAAGTTCATGTTGTGATGTGCTTTTGGAGTTGTGATAAGCTTCTGAGCTGGTTTCTTTAGAAGCAGAGTGACTGCTCTCCACATTTTGCTGGAAAAATAGGTCTTTTAAATAACAAAATCTTATGGAGTTTATTCTATTGTATGAGAGGCTTTGTGTCCTCAATGGGGATCTTTTTTGTGGATTCCAACAAAAGAGCATCTCTTGCAACTCTGCATTGCTTTCTGTTAATAGTGATTTTTTATTTTGAATTCAGTCAAAGATGTCCACAGTGGAACTGCAAAGAGATTTTTATTGGCATTGTTCTGAAGTTTTTGTCAAGTGCTATCATTAACAGCTTGTTTTGTCATTGTTTTCATAATTCTCTTAGGAATAAAACAGCAAAATCAGTAACTACAGGCTATGCCTTTGATTTTTTGGAGCAGGAAGATGGAACTAGTAGTACTCTTTACCCGTCACTGTAACAGCTGAATCTTCTCTGTGTGAATGAATAAGAAAAATTGCTTCTTCTGTCAAACTTAGCTATTCATGTGAGCTTGTTTCACTTTTAGCCAAAGAATAAAGATCTTATTTTTTATTATTTTTAAAAATATAATTTTATTCTGGCAAATAGCTAGAGATTCTGGAAATACTAGTTATTTCCTTGAAAGAATTTTGGAAGATTAAGATAAAAGAGCAGATTACTTGAAAACATAGCTTGAAAACTGAGAAGGCTGCTCATCTAAATGTCCATCTTCAATTCAAAATGTTTTCTTTTCTTCCAGACTTTCTAGTCCATATGTCATTGTTAAAGAAATCTGCTTATTTATTTGGTTATTTTCCTTGTCACTTATGAAGATAATGAATTTCTTTTTATTTTTCCATCACATGCAACAAGACTTCTTAGAACTTCTTTTTTGAGCGATTTTCTTGGTCTAGAAGGAGACTGTGTTAAATCTTATTTTTCTTTATTTTTCCTGAGGATCAATTTTTTCCCCATTTTCTTGCTTACAAGTGCTTCTGCCCCACTGTTCTCTTAAATTAATAAATTTAAGAGAACTAAATACTTAGCTGAATTTAGTGAGCTGAGTATTTCTTTGTGCCAGCTGTATTTTGAGGAATTTTGGATTTTAACTTTCAGACTATTTTTCTGTCTTTTCAGGTCTCTGGATGGCAGACTCTGAAAAGAAATGCTGTTTTAAGAGGTATGCCTCATGTAGGCCAAAATATTCTGGACTGGTTTCTATATAAATTATAAGGCTGTACTTCTGAGGAGTCCCTGTGCTGATCCTCTCTGTAATCTTGCATGAATAATAGTTTCAGTGCTGACATCTCTCTGCAATGTGAAAGCTTGTGCTGAGATATACAGGCTTGTCATATCAATTTTAGTGGAGAGATCTGTAATATGTTGCTTAACTTTTTGCTTGATCATCTTAGGAGAACACTGCCTTAGTGGACGAAGAGGGTGATGCACAAACAAAACAAGTCTACTTTCTGAAATGTTCATGTCCACTTTCAGCCACTCATGACTTTGTGTGTGTATGGGTTCGTTTGTTTGCTTGTTTTTTAATTGGGAATATAGTCCAGATTTTGTAAATGCCCTCACTCCCTTTTTGGTGTTTTGCAAGACATCCAGACAGTGAGAGGTTGACACTGTGCCAGCAGTGTGGTTTAAAATAATGTCAGTTAGATCCAAGATGAAGAAATACTAATCTTTTTGCAAATGATCTTTTTTTTCATGTTAGCTGAATGTTTGGAACATTTTCTGTGGTTTTTGAGGTTTCATGTTCCAGTACTGAAAGAAAGTTTCTCTTCTCTCTCCATTGTTGGTATGTTGTTTTTGAATAATTCGTTGCTTGGCAGCTGTTAAGAAAACTGTCTCTTCAAAATGGAATTCTTCTACCAGGTCTTCCATCCATTTCAAGCAGATGTGGTGGCATATGTTAGAAAAGTAGGCTTTGTCTTTGTAAGAGAAAGATTGGTGTGTTTTCTTCTTTTAGCTTTTTTAAACAGGATCTCTCAATTCTTTTTAAGCACCTTGGAGGGCTTCCTATTTCTCTAAAGCAGTGCAATGCTGATTTGTTCTGCCTCCAAAATAATAACCAGGATGAAGTACTAACAACTTGGGTGAAGAGTGGCTCTTCAGCTATTGAAAAAGATCTTGGTGTTGCTCTTTTTTATGCAGTGTTTACAAAACTCCTAAAGAAAGTGATGCTGTGAATTAGGGAAGATGTTATTGCTATTTTCTACACAACCTGTGGACAGAAATCAAGATGAGGTGTGCCTCCACTGCTCTTGGAGGTGCACACTTGTAGGATGAGAGGCATTGTACCCAAGTTACAATGTGGGAGATTCCTGTGAGACAGTAGGAACATTTTTTGCCAGTGAGGGTGGTCAGGCACTGGAAAAGGCTGCCCAAAGAGGCTGTGAAATCTTAATTGTTGAACATTTTCTGAGTGAAGCCAGAATAGCCCACTGTAACTCTATTTACGTGGGCCTGCTTTGACTGCAAGGTTGGATTAGAGAAGCTTGAAGAGGTTACTTCATTATTTCCATAACATTATCCTATGAATCTGTGTAACATGTTGAAGGGACACTTTTTATGAATTTTACATTTCCTGTAAAAAAAATTAAACAGTTGAGGCTCAGGTTGGTGTTTTGTGTGTCTTTTTTTAGATGGGTTTTTGTTTTCTGGGGATTTTTTAGTTTGTGGAGGGGGGTTTGTTTTTGTTTTGCTTTGCTTTGCTTTGTTTTTTGTTTTTGTTTTGGGTTTTTTTGGTGGGTTGGTTTTGTTTTTGATTGGTTGGTTGGTTAGTGAGTTGAGTAGAATTTTGTGATTAAAGAACTGAGGAGTGACTTCTTACTATTCCAGCAACATGGTTTTGAGGGAGAAGTGTGGAAACCCAGGGCGCCATGAATATTTCTCCCTCTGCTCTGGGGTGCCCTGACCCCCAGGGGACCACTGAATTTGACCCTCATTCATGGAGAAAGTTTCCTAGACTTCAAGATAGACTAGAATCCACAAAAGTGTGAAATAGATTATAGAAAGTAGTGTAGGTGTATCACGAGGTGAGAAATTTGGGTTTTAGGATTTTTAGTATGTTGTGGATCGAAGCAAGATGGAGGGCACAGGGTGTCGTCCTGGATTTCTTCATGCTGCTTCTTCCTTCTTCTTCATGGGTTTGAGTAGCATTTTGTAATTGGGCAGAAAAGTCTGCATTACAGGCTCTTTGGGATCAGTTATTGGGTTAAAAGGGAAAATAATCTGGGTGTCAGTTCTTAAATGGATAGTTTAGTCTTAAAATACCTTGTAACAAGAGATGGTTAGCCATTTTGTGCCTTCTAATGAAAAGCTGCTGAACTCATAGTAATGAGACTGTTTTACTGATAAGAAATAATAAACGCTTGAGTCCTAACACAAATTACTGTTTCAAGTGCCTTCAGTCTAGACCCAGAAAAACTGACAACTGGTGCCTCCACAGAGAAGAACTGTGGTTTTGCTCCAGTGTTTATTTGTTGACTAAGTACAGAGCAAGACTTTAAATTTATTTAATCAAGTTCAGTCAGTGCATTGAAAGTTTCAAGGTTATCTACAGTTCTTAAAGTTTGAGATTGCGTGCTGTCCAAGGTTACTATTTGAGGAGGTAAATCTCAGAAGAAGTAACAATTTAATTAAGAAGAACTAAAGAATTTATGTTTTACAGAAATTTGGCTTTCTTGGCTTTGACTTTCTTAAAACTAAATTAAGGTATGGTATTTTCTCTTGTCTGCTAACTGCTGTGGGGGTTCAGTGGGGGCCTGAGGTTCACAGTATTCAAATGAGCTATTAGATTTGGAAAATGATACTGTAAATGTTCAGAATTTGGTCTGTCCTCTGAATTTACCTGTTTTTATATTGGATGGTAGCTTTCTGTGAAACTTTTGCTTATGAATTTGAGTGTGATCCTGTGATCCATGCTCAAGAAGCTCTTGAGCATGTGTCTTCTACAGTGCGTGGTGGGTCACATTACAAAAGAAGGCAAATGTAAATTGTGTGTTTTAAAGCTTTGTTATGCCTACTAAATCCTGCACAGTCTAGTGAATCTCTGTTAAAAAAAAAAAGTGTCAATTGGGGGATAATGCTTTTGGTCTGATTTTTTTAAATATATATATGTTTTTAGGCAAGGAGGTATCAGCCTAGGTTGCACTTTGGAAAAGTAAGCTTATGTCTTATTATTGGTTCAAGCTGGTGTGCATGACTTAATTGTCAACCCAATTCTGTGTGTTTTCTTTTTGCAGCAGCCAGGTTTAGATGTTGTGCTCATGCTAACTTCATTGAGTCAGCGTGTCTGATTTTCTAATGGTCATCAGCAGCTTGAGATCAGTCAATATAGTAAGAATTTCAGCTTGCTTAATACATGGATAGGCAGAGGTAGTAAATTCATTGGATCATATGATGATTCAGGTTAGAAAAAGATCATGTCCTTCATGTAAGGTGGTTACCTGTAATAGGGTGTCAGGGAGTGGCATGACTTATGTCAGTGAAGACTTAAGTTGGGTATTGGGGAAAGGTTCTTCCCTCAGAGGGTGGTTGAGCACTGGAACAGGCTCCCCAGGGAAGTGGTCACTGCACCAAGCCTGACAGAGTTCAAGAAGGGTGCAGACAATATGCTCAGGCACATGAGACACGTTAGGGATGTCCTGTGCAGGACAGGATTTGGACTTGATTCCATGGGTCTCTTCCAAATTAGGATTTCTATATAATTCAGCTGCTCAAAGAAGAGTAGACTGAGGTCAGAACAAGTGGATCAGTGTGTGTTCCAGGTATTTGTCTGTGCTTTTAAGCTGCATGGTTTCTTGGGAATATGTATTGAGATTTGTGTCGTTTTTGTTTTTAAGGTTAGATTACTTGTTTTGGAGGTATGTGAATTCATTTTTAGCTTTCTTTTCAGCACATAACTGTTTGAGAGATGAGAAGATGAGTTTCTGTGAAAGAGATCATCAGGAATTCAGGTTTTAAAAAATATCCCCTTTTCAAAGGGAAGTTGTTTAAGGGAGACCTGGATTTGTCTGGAAAATAGAAAAATTGCTTGTGTGATTCTTAGTCAGACTTGATGTTTAGGATGTTGTGTAGTCTTGCTGTTTAGTTCCAGTTTGTATGAGATTACTGGCATGGATTTTGGTGGGGTGATAACAACTTGGCTGTCTTATATGATAAAAGTGGTGCTTAACTTCTGTTTGGCACTAGGCTGTAGAAACATGGGCATCTTGGGATGCCTTCCCAAGAGCAGATGTGTGGTTCAAGTAGTGCTAGTATCCCATCTGAACTGATACTGTATTCCAGATAGGAACATGAAAGACATCCTGTATTAGCCACCTATCCACATGGAGTGTTTCTTCTTAAGCATTGTGAGTAGTAGCCTAGCTTTGTATTTCCTAGTGTGACTGTGTATCATATTCAAATGCAATAATAAAGAGAAAAAAAAGTAGTTAATGATGAAATCTGCAATTATGTTATTTACTTCCCTCTCAAGTGATACAGAACAGGCAGGTGAATAATGTGGAATTACTTTACATAATCTGGAATTACTTTATGTTTTTAATTAGTTGCTATGATTAGTGAATTTAATTTCTTATATCAGGTTGTAACATTAGTGTCTCTATTTTTCTTTATATGTGTCATTAGTTCTGCTAAATTTTTTTTTCTATTTCTCTCTAGGAAGCAATTCAAGTTTTCTGCAAAGTCTGAGCATTTATGTTATCTGACTGAACTGACATCTTGGTAATATGCCTATTTTTGCGAGCTTCTCTCTACCTTTCTAAATAGATATGAAGTGGTCTGGCCTTTTTTAAATTTTATTTTTATTAATTTTCAGATTTTTTAGTAAGTCCTCTTGTTGTAACAGGTTAACTGTTTCGAAAAGCAAGAGAGGCATTCTGAGTTCTTTGTTTTCCCAAGATTAGAGGATGTGCGTCACAATTGTAGAAGACACAGGCTTAAATAAAGTCTGACACTGATAGCTTGCTTACAAAGCCAGTTACCTCAAAAGCTGTGTTGTTTATTGGAGATTGAAGGTGTGCTGAAGCAACCATGGACTCTGCATGAGCAGAGAAGAGATCCTTCTCCTGTTTTAGTAGCTGCAAGAAGGCAGCAGGGGACAGGCCCTCTGGAGAAATGTCCTTCTGTAGGTTTTATCACCTTTTGAAGTGTCTACTGCCCTGGAAAGACCTCTTACCTTTCTGTTGCTTCTTCCAATAGTTCTTATTTTCAGTCCTTCAGACATCTAATGAGAGTGACTTTCTGTGCTCTTTCAAAAAACCAAATTTTCATAAGGTTGATTTGATAGGCTTGCTCTTGATATTTTAGAAGATACTCATTTTTCCAGTGCCAAAATGTGTATGATTTTTTTCCTATTAGGTTGGAAAAGTGTGTATTATTCTTGATATCCTCTTTTTTTCCCCTGGCACAATGGGCTTTATTACTATTTTGTATTATTTTTGCCTTTGTTGTATGGTTCAGTCACTGTTCTCATAATATTATACCCCATCTGAATTTTTTTGTTTGTTTATTTATGGTTCTTCTAGTGGCAGCATTTATCTCTACTGTTGGGAAGAAAAATTGTAATTTTCTTTCTAGAAAAAAACCAATTTCTTTGCTTCAGATTTCACTGTTAAGTCTTTGGCTCTTCTGCCTTAGAAGTGCTTGGATTTCTGCCTGTGGTTATCCTGAACACCTTCTTCTGAATTCCTGTCTAGACAAGCAACTAGTTATATTGGTACTGCCTTTTTCAGGATCTGTTTAAGCTAATTTCTTTTTTGTCTGTCATGAATTGTGTTTTTTAGCATGCCCACTTTCAAATTAACTGGTGGCTTGATGCCATCCCTTGAGCTCTTCTTGAAGAGTGATGTTGAATAGCTCTTCCTCAGCACCACAGAAACCTACATACCTCATGTAGTAGTGTTTAACTGATGACCTCATCACTCATCTGAAAGGATTTAATGTGTGTCTGGTTTTCAGAGAGTTAAAAATAATTCTAAAATTAGGAAAGTAATTCAGGTTCTAAGTAAATGTTTTTCACCTATTTTGTCTACTGCAAAACCAAGCTGTTCTTTTATTCTTCTTTAATGGGAGGTTACTAGATTTATAACTAAATCTAAATCTCAAATACTATAAAATAATACTGATTTTTTTTCTCCCATTGTTTACATCTTAACCATGAGAACTAGAAATCTTCCTAGTCTTTTTTGTATAGGACAATGCAGATTGGAATGGGTAGGTGTTGGATATGTTTCTCCACAGTTCACAGTGGAACATTTTGTACTTCTCTGCACTGGAATAGTTCAGATTGGTGTGGAAGTTTGCCATTTGATAGTTCTTTTTTCTTAGTACCACTTCACTGAACACAGGGGAAAAAAAAGATGACAAAATTAAAGATCAGACAACCTTGTTGCAATATTTCAGTGTGAAACTTAGGGAACATGTGTCACCATTCAAATTCTGAAATGTTTTCCAAACCGAGCTAGATGAAAACCAGTATTTGTGAGCCAGGGACAGTAAAATCACTTTAAAGGAAAACAGTGTAATTTGGTGACTTCTGCAGTACGAGAACCAAATATAGTAGGTCGTAAGCAAGTATAGCCTGCTCTGTTAATTGACGAGAATGCTGGTCAAGTTCTGGTAATAGTACAATTTTCAAAATGTTTTGAAAAAAATAATAACAGCTATGTTTAAAATGTAACAGTTTATTTGTAAAGGCATGGGCTTTGTGTGGTGTATTCTCTCTAAGCAATTGGGGTTACTGCAAAAAAAAGTTAAATGAGCTTTTTAATTTTTGATTTCTAATATTTTTTCCTTTTAAAGATGTTTATGCAATCCCATGCTCAAAAGAAAGGAATGATGTTTAGTTCAAGTTTTAGCACAACCAGCTGCTCCTCTGCCAGTGAAATTATTTTAATCTGTAATGTAGTGTTCAATTAACTTCTGTTTAAATAAAAGGGATTTCAGAAGGTTTACTTGTCAGCCCCATTGAGAGACACATTCAAAATTATTCTTTAATATAGTGACACAAGGCAAACACTTAAAAGTGTAGTTAAACTGAACAGTTGCTTTGACTTTTCAATTGTCAAAACACTTTTGAATCTGAAAGTCACCTACTTTGAGGATTTTCTTCCTTCATATTTTGTGAGTTTTCTATCATAACTAGACAGAATATGATGACTCAAGCTACCAGGATAGTAGGGTTTTCATCTTAAATCTGAGTCTGTTGGTTGGTAAAGGAACTTATTAGTAGCCACTGGAAGGGCCATCTTCTATGCTCTTGCAGTACTGACTTGCAAAATAGTGTGGAGTTTACATTATTTAGTTTCTGTGAAGTGACATAAAAGTTAGTGCCACGACTGTGCACACACATCTGTATACATTGTACAAAAGTCTGAAGCTGGCTTAACACAAGTTAATCATTTATTCCCAAATGACTACAGCTGTGTTACTTTATGATACATCTCTTCCACAGACACCAAAGATGCTAACAAGGAAGATTAAGCTTTGGGACATTAATGCCCATATTACCTGTCGTCTGTGCAATGGATACCTGATCGATGCTACTACTGTAACAGAATGCTTGCATACTTGTAAGTAGAAATATAATTAAGTTAAAGTTGCTGACTTGCTTTCTATTTGTTTCTGGTTTTGGGTTTTTGGTTTTAAAACATTTTGTATGGTTTTCAGTTGAAATTTCAAATAGCTATTGTGCATCACCCAAAAAAGCATGTGCTTTACTAGACTGCTTTTCTTTAACAGTTGATTTGCTTTTTTAACAAAGCAAATGGAGGGAACATTAAAGCTGTGCTGCATAAACTTGAAGCCATATACAATAATAGTGGTAATGTAACTATTCAAGAATGCAGTCTGTCTTCATGCTAAAGGAATGTGGAATACCTAGTTCTCTCTTCTGTGACAGTTGATGTAGCATATGCTCTCCACCTGGAGCCTTTCAGATGTCTCTTTCTCTCCTGTTCCTCTGCAGAAAACAGAGTGGTTTATCGATAAAGAATAAGTATGTTGTACTGTATCCTAGAAAAAAGCTTGTATTCCAAAACATTGTGATAAATTAGTTGTTTGTTGATGAGTTACTCCGTGAATTTCTATTTTCATGTAAGCTAAGGATGACTTAAAACCTTGCAACCCATCCCATGTTTTAAAATTGTTCTGCCACAATATTTATGTTTATTCTGATAAAGCTAGTAGGTTGTTTAATTAGCCTTATGACTTAGTCCTAAATTTTCTTGGAAGGCAATTATTTTGTGACTGTGTATTTATCATAAAACAAAAAGTGTTGGCACACTTCACCTTTTATATCTGACAAAGGGGAAAGGCAATGTTCATGATTTGTCAGTGATTATGTTTTTTATTGTATTCCATTTAGAATCTCTGTTTATCAGCGGTGATGAATTTGTTGCACTTGTCACACTTCATGTTGTTCTGAATATCCTCATAGAATCTAGGATAGTAGAAGGGTTTGTTCTATGATTCTGAGAATCACAGAATGGTTCTAGAATCTATATTCAGTTGCTTGGTCGTGGGCAGGGTCAGCATCTGCTGGATCAGGTTGTTCAAAGACCCATATAACCTAGCCTTGAATGCTTCCAGTGATGGTACATCCACAGCTTCTTCGGGCAACCTGTGCCAGTTACCTGTGCCAGTTCTTTCTGATCTCTAATCTGAACCTATCTTCCTTCAGTTTGAAGCCATTCCTCCTTGTCCTGTCGGTACATGCCCCTGTACAAAGTTCATCCCCATCTCTCTTGTAGTGCCCTTCAACTTTTGGAAGACTGCTTTAAGGTCTCTCCAGAGCCTTCTTGCTTCCTATCTCAATTTCCATACTATTGTTTTCACAGCTAGGCTTCTACTTAGTTTTGCCCAAATTTCTTTACTGCTGCTAGTTAGAAGAGTGTATCCAAAATGAGTATCATAACAAGTTAACACGGCTAACAGCTAGAGAGAGGTCATTTTTTATTGTTCTTTAAAAATAAAGCAGAGCCTCACAAATACCCCTCAGCTGATATCGTCTGCACCATCTCTTATATTTGCTTATGGAGGAAATACATAGATCCACGGCTCTACGGCACTTGCTGCAAAAGTCAGGAAATGCACCATACTACCTTTTCCTGCTGCTTTTTCTGGGGTTTTCTTTGGCTTGTTTCTCCCTTATTTTGACAATTTATATTTTATGAATGCTACTTCGCTCTGTGCCCTGTATAATAAGTTTTGTGGGAAGAGGCACAGAGTCCTTACTATGTTTTTAACAAAACTTCATACATGTTTGCATTGTTTGTATTGTGTAAGATATTGCTAATGATATATGTTCTGTAAAAGCATCCTTGCAAAATCCATCATGAAATTACCCTGTCTGTTGAGATAGTGAATTCTCTTCTAAGTCACACCACCTTGAAATTTTCATTCTCTTCTACTCAGAACTGTACATTTTTCTTACCTTTTCAATTTTTCTCTCATTTACTGATCTTTAACCATTCAAAGACTCTTCAGTAGTAAATGAAGTTCTTGGGTTGTTTAGTGAAAGTAATTTGGAGGACCAAGGCCAGCCCTCTGGAGGAACAGGGCAAATTTTTGTAAAACTGAATTTAGGAGAAAGCAAAGTGTTTTCACTTTCTTTCCTACTTACTTCTCTGCTGTGGTTTTAGTTTGTTGGTGACAGGTAGGCCACTAAATCGCTAAAAATTTCATTAGTAGTAACTAAAAAAAAAGTCAAGTCTTTTTTTAGTTTGTATCTGTTCCTTGATTAAAATTCTAGGCTACATGATACATGCTGGTCTTGTTAAACTTTGTGATAATAATATCAGTTTTGTTAGTGTTTACAAAACTGACATTATAAACACAAAGTTTATAATGTTTCTATGTTTTGAAAGGGAAAACCTCACATTATGAAACGTATCGTCTTCTGAATGCATCAGGATGATAAAAGGTCAACTTGAACTAGATACAGAAATGAAAAAAGTCAAGAGAAGTGAAACTGTTAAAATAAAAAAGTGAACATTAGCCTTGTCTGTTCCTGTTCTGATGAAACATCTCTGATGTGTATAAGAAATCAGAAAATGTACAGCTCATGTCCACAATCAGTGCCTGTATATCTGGGTAAACAGAGATCAGAGATACTGGAAAACCAAAGTAGTGCAAAATTCTAGAAGTAATATTGTTTCAGACCACAGAACGATTCCCATGTTGCTTGTCCATTACTCCAAAGACTTCTAGTTTCAGGAGAGTTTATAATCCTGACCTGACCCCAGAAAAAAAAGAACCTAGATGGCTGCAGCAGCCTTCATAAGCCATCTAGTGGCATTTATTTAGATGCTGTGCTCAGACTGAAACCTTCCAGAACATTAGCTAACTTGTGGCTAATTCATTTTAGGAGTTAGTGTTTACCTAGTCCAAGCTGGAAGATGTACTAACATGAGATGATATTTTAGATATCACAGAATGCTTTGGGTTGGAAGGGAACTCTAAAAGTCACCTAATGCATTGCCACAGCAATGAGCAGGGGCATCTTCAGCGGCATCAAGTTGCTCAGAGTCCTTGGTGAAGCTGTGCTGGCTGTCTGGAGTCACCTCCCTGTCCTTCACATGCCTTAGCACACCTTCTACTACTCCACAGTCTTCCCAGGCACAGAGTTAAGGTAGACAGGTTGGTGATTTCCAGATCTCTCCCTTTCTACCACTTCCTAAAAGTGGAGGCAATGTTTCCCTTTTCCTGGTCACCGGGGATTTCACCTGACTGTCAGGACTGTCGCTGTTAGTGGCTTGGCAACTACATCAGCCAACTCGAGACCCTGGAACACATCTTGTCAGGTCTCAGAGACTTACGTGTATTCACATTCCCAGGTGTTTGTGAGTCTGATCTTTTCACACAGTCAAAGGGACTTACACCCCCAGTGCCTCCTTTGCAGTTCATCTATGCAAGAGCTGTGGGAGGAGAAATTGCCAGAGAAGACTGGGGCAGAAAAATTGGATAACCTCAGGCTTCACCTTGTCCATTGTTACTGATTTGCCAGTAATTTTTATCAGGGGTTTATGCATTCTTTGACCTTCTTTTTGTGACATACTTACAGAAACTCTTATAATGCTTCATATCCCTTGCCAAGTTCAGCTTCATTTGTGATTTGGCTTTTCTGACCCTTCCCTACCCAAGTTAGCAACATCCCTATACTCCTTCCAGGATACCTGTCCCTGCTTCCTCTGTCAGATTCTGCTTTTATTGACTTGGTAGGAATGGAGTTTGGCTTCACTTTTGCAAATGGATCTACTGTTCTGGCACTCTGCTGGAACAAACTGCTGTGCAAGATGAGGCTTTGTCTAACATCTGCCACCAACAGTGTAAATACACAACACAATGCAAAGTTATAGTACTTCATTTACTGTTACTTTTTTTTTAGTCAGTGGGTGTTTATGTAATTGTACTGTCTTCTTGTTTGAGAGGTAGATGGCACTATAGTTACAGAAATCCTTTTGTTTTGTATGAAAAGTGCATTAATACCAAGACTACATGAACTAGTGCACTTCAAGAAAACCTCCCTTCTTTTCTCCATACCTTTTCAGTTGCAACTTCAAGTGAGTGAGGATATCATTTAGTAGTGTATTTTATGAGTACTGTTTTGGGGCAGGAGAGTGGTGTATAAATAGTTTACTTTGAAAAAGATGGATGATTGTCTGTACACATATAGAAACATGCAGCTTAATAGTGAATCACTACTTAGCAACTCCTAGCAGGACATTTTACTAATAATGAAGGTCTGTGACAATGTAATTTTTTTTTTCTGGTGGAAGTTCAGCTGTAGTATACTCTGTGAAAGTTAGAATTAAAATGACACACAAGATATCCACTTTCCTGCTTTGGAATTCTTTTTGTGTGCTGCCACCACACACACTTGTTCTGTAGGTGTCCATGGTTAAAGCAAATATATTTTGTTTAGTATCTTAATGGCAAATAGTTCCTGTAATGTCATCCATGCAAGCTGAATGTTGACCTGCTAGAAATTGTTCTAGTAAATTTTGAAGTGAGATTTTGTGTTGTGTACTGTGTTAAGGTTTTTGATAGGTATAGATGCTCTAATTCTAGTGCATTCTTTCCCTGTATCAGGAAAATTTATGAAAGGTACTTGAAACTGTGTTCTGCAAGATTAGACATATGATGCAGAAAAATGAACTTCATGTAAATTTCAGTATTGTGCATTCTGTGACTGTATAAAAGCAGACTTCTGTTATGCTACTTTTATTCCTTTTTAATTGTGAATATCTTTTTTACTAGTCTGTAGAAGCTGCCTAGTGAAATATTTGGAGGAAAACAACACCTGTCCTACCTGTAGGATTGTTATACATCAGAGCCACCCATTACAGTATATTGGGTAAGTATAAAAGCAGAAGTGCAAGTAGCTTCACTCTCATCTGGTTCATCCCCTTTGATACAGTACAGCTTCTCTCAGAATTTCTCTTGCTTATCAGCATGTTAAACATTGAAAAAGAAGTATGAAGGTGACTGAGGAGATACAGAATGAAACTTCTGCTATGAGTTTGCAAGGCCTTAGCATGGTAGCTTGTTCCAGACTTACAAACAAGTTAACTATACACTCAAATGGTTAATTTCTGTGTGATTTTTAATGAGATATAGTCATTCCTCATTTTGTATGCTTGGGTTGTAAAAATTATATATATGAAACATTTGTAGGAATTACACTTTTACAAAATTATCAAAAATTAGTCTCAGTTGAACAGTGCTTTTCTGTGTGACAGTAATAAGAGAAATAATTTTCAGCTTTATTGTTCAGTTAATCTTTCAAAGGTCTGCTTAGGTTGTAGGAACAGATAAGAATGTCATAGAATCATGATAGAATGGTTTGGGCTGGAAGGGACCTTTGAGATCATCTAGTTCAGGTTTCTCAAAGTTCCCTGAAGCCTGGACTGACACCCCGCTCCCCCCCCTCCTCCTTTCTGGGGGTGGGGTATGCACAACTTCTCTGGACAATCTCTTCCAGCCTTGCCACTCCCACTGAAGAATTTCTACCTATTATCTAACCTATATCTGTCATCTTTTAGTTTAAAACCTTCCCCCTTGTCCTATGACTACATGCTTGTCTAAAAAGTCTGTTTCCAGCCTTCTTTTGGGTTCCCTGCATGTACTGGAAGAATGCTCTGACGGTTCCCTGCAGTCTTCCTTCTCCAGGCTCTACAGCTCCAACTCTATCAGCCTGTCTTCACATGAGAGGAGGTTATTTTCATGGCTCTCCTCATTTTCATGACTTTCCTCTGGACTCACTCTAACAGGTCCACATCCTTTGGGGCCCCAGAGCTGAAAGCACTGGTCTAGGTAGGGGCTTTTGCAGGCAGAGTAGAAGGACAGAATCACCTGCTTCGATCTGCTGATGAGTTTCTTTTGATTCAGCCTAGGTTGCAGTGGGCTTTCTGGACTGCTCTTGCACATTTCCAGGTCATGTTGATTTTTCCATTTGCTAATATCCCAAGTCCTTCGCCTCAGAGCTGCTCTCAGTCACTTCTCTGCCCAACCTATATTTGTGGTTGGGATTACCCCAGTCCAGGTGCAGGACCTTGTACTTGGCCTTGTTGAACTTTGAGCTTCACATCAACCCACCTCCTAAGCATTACTTCCTTCCAGCATGTCTACTGCCCCATACAGCTTGGTGTTGCTGGCAAATTTGCTGAGGGTGCCCCTCGATCCCACTGTCACTGACGAAGATGTTAAACAGCATTGATCTTAGTACTGACCCCTGAGGGACAGCACTTGTGACTGGTCTCCTCTTGGATATTGAACTGTTGATCACAACTCTTTTGAGTGCAACCATCCAGCCTTTCTTGATCCAGCAATTCCTTATGCACCAAGTGCTGCATTAATCAAATCCAGATCTCTCCAGTTAGGGACAAGGATGTTGTGCAGGACAGCATCAAATGCTTTGCACAAGTCCAGGTAGATGCCATGACTCACCCTTTCCTCATCCACTGTCTCTGTAACCTCATGATAGAAGACCACCAAATTTGTCAGACACAGTTTGCTCATAGTGAAAGCCATGTTGGCTGTTGCCAGTCACCTCTTTATTTTCCATCTGCATTTGAATAGTCAAATTGCATGTTCACTAAGTATTTTTGTTGGGTTTTTTCCTCCTTTGCTTGTCAGAAAAGACATTCTTTTTCTTTTCCTTGAGTGCTTTCTTTCCTTTTTACTCCTGCTGATGAAAATACATTGTAATGGTATGTCTGCATTAGCTGTTGCATATCAAGTAGTGTTTTGTCTTCCATTATAAAGAACTTGTGTTTGTTCATAGCATTTTTCAACATGCCTTTCTCACTTCTATAACAATTGCGGAAGCAATGGTTTTAGCAAATGAGTCTGATTGAACTTTATAGAAAACTGTCAATGTTCTATACACACATTGCTCAAGCTCATCCTCATTCAGGAGCCTGTAACTAAGTATACTAAGCATATTATAAATGTATCCACATTTATAATACACACTCATACTCCTGTATGAGTGTATAATTAAAGGGACAGGTACATGCAAATAGGCAAGAATGAATAAATGACATGTAAGATAACATGTTTGCCTCGGTTCAAAAACCTGGTTTTTGTGCAAAAAGGGCCAGGAAACAACATGATATTGAGAGCAGCTAGAAGGCAATTTGTAATTTGTTTTTTATTGTTGAATACACTTCAACTTAAGTAAGCTGCTTAAATTAGTTGTAAAATATTGCCCATTGAAACTGAAACAGACTTTGTCCAGCCTAGTTTTGGATATATTTATTTACCTTTTTAAAAAAATAATTGACAGTCTGGAGTATCACAAGGTGTTTGAAAATGGAGATTTAAACTCCTATTCATCTCTGTCTGAAAAATAGGTAAATCAAATGTGTCTCCTTGTTTACATTTCTAAATACTGTTAAATAGCATCAGAGTTTTAAATTCTTTGGTGCCTTAAAGATCATCTGTATGATCTAGTTCCAACCCCCAAATTGTCACCTCTGATTTAATGGTGGTGTCATACTTATATATTTTTGTTCAAATAATTTTGGCAATGTGTTTGCAGTCCATAAATGACACTTTATAATCTCAGCTTGTACAAATGAGATTGCTACTGGTGAAAATGACATGAATTTAGGGTAAGTGATATTCTGAATCTTGTAGTGCTACTTAGAATATTGTAATTACTGCTTGTAAATGTCTTGATTTGTCACGATTTCTGTACTTGCTTACTGATCTCCACTGCTGCAGAGTGCTCATGTCAGGTGATGAGAAGCCTGAGACTACTCTTGTAGGCCTTTTCTGTTCAAATCCAATTCAGGACTTGATACTGCAGACACTTCTGAGATTATGACATTGCAGCAGCCAAGGCAGACACTTGAAATGTTTCTTATACTGTTTCTTAATTGGAATTTAATGTAGTACTTAATTTCTTTGAGACCCATAACTTATTTTAGATTAGAACAGGATTTTTCTAGGTGAGCTGGGGATTAAAGTTTAGAATCTTAACTGGCCCCACTGTCCTGCAGTGGGATTGTTGACTTTTTTCATTTGAGCCACACTACCTCTACAGGCTACTTAGCTAAATAATGTTTCTCACAGTTACTTTGTTCTTTTAAGAAAAAAGTAAAACTTAGTTTGTTGAGGTCTTTTTCTGTGAACTCATCTCATACATTTTAGAAGATCCTAGTAAAGATAATTAATCTAAAAATGTGAGAAATTAGTCTCTAGGGGTGAGAAATAAGCTATTATTGATTCTTTTGTAATAAAAATGAGTTTATCTCTAAGTTGGAAAAGAGTTTTAGGTTATTACTATCATACTTGCCTTGTTGCAGAAGGACATACTCAGTGGGGTGAATTCTTCTACAGACTAGTTTTTCTCAAACTTTCATTTGTTTTCTGTCTTAGCTTGTACTTTTTCATAGTTTCTTTTGTGTTGCTGTTCTTTCTGGTTTGATAGAAATACTGATTGAGAAGTAAAATTCTTAGGTGAATTTAGAGATTTTTGCATATGGTTAGTACTGGAACTTTTTAAGAGAAATGTTTTCAATCAAGATCATGAACTTAAGCTTTTGATTTTGTTTCTGTTTTTTTTGTTGTTTTTTTCCTTGCTAGTCATGACAGAACAATGCAAGATATTGTTTACAAACTTGTGCCAGGCCTCCAAGAAGGTAAGTTGCGGTGTGACCTTTTTAAAGGTCAGTTTGCACATACTTCTTTGACATTAAATATAAAAGAAAGTTTCAAGTGATGAAAAGAGAGGCTGGGGGGGGGGGCAACTGAGAAAAAATACAGTGGAAAATGAGACTCTTTCACTTGTGTAATTTTTAGCAATTAATTTAATTTCGTACCTGTACTAGCAGCAACTGAGTGTGGGGGTGGTGGGAGGCAACGTGGGATGTTTTTCCAAAAGCAGTATTATGTAAAGCAGAATAGTCATTCAGCTTTCAAATGTTGCCATACCATAACTCTAATTTGTTTTTGTTATACCTGTTGTGCAAGCTTTCTAGAATTCTCAGAGGTAAAATGCAATTTTAAAATGCTTTTAGTTTGTGCTATTTTTGAGAGTTCTTTTTTGTTAGAGAACTTTCAATTACTGTTTTCATAATCCTCTTTGATGCTAGATCTGTTAAACTAAAGAAATACTTTATAAATATTGCTCAGTGGTTTTTTTTTGGTCTTAATGTATGTTAAAGTTTTCATTTAAATAGAGTATTTAAATCTATTGAAGCTGCTTTTTAACCAGAGCATTTCCAACTGTCAGTGTGATTAAATAGATACTTTCAAAATTATTTCTGGGATATTGAAAACCAGAACTATAAATAAAAATTCAAAACCAATGTTTTGACTGAAATTCGGTCATACTCAAAATGGGGGATATTCAAAATTAGCTGTAGTATTTTAAATTCCATCTCATTCTAGCAATAATAGTATAGTAGTAACTATACAGATAACTTTTTTGCTTTTCTAATTCTGAAAAATAAGATTAGGCGTAACTTGATGCAATAGGAGAGATAGAAGATAGTAAATAATGACACCACTGCCACTTGTTGGCAGTCCTAAAGTGGGAAGGGATTTGGAATAACTTCATAAATGTTGCATTAGAACTTTATTACAGGAATTAATATTTGCAATTTTAAACAGCGGAAATGAAAAAGCAAAGGGAGTTTTATCACAAACTGGGCATGGAAGTTCCAGGGGATATCAAAGGGGAGACATGTTCTACAAAACAGCACCTAGATTCTCATCGAAATGGTAAATAGTCCTTTATTTATTCTGTCTTTGGTGGGTGACGTGTAGTAAATTGATGAACAGATCTGTTTGAAGTATGTGCCCAGTGAGTACATTACAATCATTGTTTCATAACAGCAAGGAATAGAGTCAGCATAGGATTGTTGCCTTGTACCTTATTTCTGCACAGAATTTTTGTTTTTAGCTGTTAATAGCATGTTGCTTGTGGCAAAGTTGGTCTCCACAGCAGTGCCTGCATGGGGACTGTGAAATTACCCAGCTTCTGGGCTGCTAGCAGCTGAACTCCATAGGTGTTCTCCTCTTTCATGTCACGGGCTGTTGGCTGGAAGTGTTGCTTGAGCCGATAAGCACAATTTGGGGATAGCAAAGCTTATTCTATATTGCAGTCCTGAAACTTGCTGTTTTAATTGTATTAGCTCTATCAGATGCTGCTGAGTATGTGTGGAGTTTATATATGATAATAATATATATGTATCCCATATATCTGGGTTTTTTTATCTAAGGTGAAACTAAAGCAGATGAAAATATAAATAAAGAAACTTCGGAGGAAAAACAGGAAGAAGATAATGACTACCACCGAAGTGATGAACAGGTAGGCTCATAGGGCATGCTCTAGTTTTATCTTCTGTTTTAGCTGTTGTGGTTTGGTAAGGTAACTTTGATAATCTAACAGAGAAGAAAATAAGTTTATTTCAAGCTACTTTTGTTCTCTGATACAAACACGATGCAGTTTGGGCAATGCTTTTTTGTAAGCATGAGGTTTTACCTTTGGATTTTGGCAGGAATGGAGAATACATTCAAATCTTCTTGCAAATATCTTTATATTTTTGACTGTTTATGAGTCTTCAAAGTTTGCTGTCAAAACAAATTAATGTAATTTTCTGCTTTCTACAGGAGTGCACCCCAGTGTTACCATCATACATTAAGCTGAATGTGTATTGGTAATTATGAATTAAACCACTGGCACTGTTAACACATTCAGTGCAGGTAGCTCAGAGTGCAGTTGCAATGAGAGCTGCACGCTGAGCTCTGGATGGGAGCCTGAGGCAAGAGGCCATGAACTGCCAACCTTTGGCACAGGAAGGGGCACAGGGACCTGTGGTACCAGCCTGGGGTCTGGACAGTGAGACACAGAAGCAGCTGAGACCCCCAGACTTTGGTTCTGTGAGGGTATGAAAGCCCAGGGGTTCCTTTCTTCAGGGCCCCTTCTCCGAGGCACCAGCTGGAGCTGTTGTTATTTAGTTACTGCACCACAATTAAGCTGTTTGAAGGACCTGGATGTCTGAGACTCTGCTATGGGAAACCTGGGGTTGAGCTAGTAAGGAGTCCTGGTCTGAATGTGAGTGTGAGGGGTGTAGCTGTGAAGGGGCTTCTTTCCCAGCTTAGGTGCTGTGAATGTGACTGCCAGAGTGGCTCCTGGATGGCCAGACAGGTTTCCTTAACAGCAGTCTTACTAACTTATTACATATTTTGTTTTCAACCTTTAATACTAATACAGTGTTAGCCCTGAATCATAAAAATATTATAAAAGCAGGGAAGCCCACTGTTAAGTTTAGAACACAAAGCTTGTTTGAAGGTGAAACTTCCCTTTGGTATAAACAAGCCATGCCTTTTATGTTTTCTGATTATGTGAGTCCAGAGTAACTTTAGCTTGGGTTAATTTTCTTCCCAGTTGCCATGTAAGGGAACTTTCAAAGGGATTGTACTTGTTACTAGGTCCTCCTAGTGCAATACAAGCATACCATCACAAAGAGTTTAGACTGTAATGAATAGCTGCATGGGAGAAAAAGTGAGAATTTGAAACATTTGTCATATCATTTGTATTCATTCTTTTTAAACATGTTAAAATTAAACTAGATTAGCAGTTGCATTGACAGCAAGAAATTATGTTAGAAGCAATCATTAAGAATTGACAATGGTTTTTTCAATGGTTTTCTTCTTCTTCTCTGTTTTCTTGCTCTAGCTTTTAACATATGGCCCTCTTAAGCTATTGACAACCTATGAATTTGGACTGAAGCAGCCTTGTTCCAACATCAAAAATTACTACTTGAACATATTTGTCTTATTACTTACCACTCGGCTTAGGAAATCTTAGAAAATGTGGTTTTCTTAATAGGCATTTCTGTTTAAAGAACACTAGTACTGTACTTCGCTGTATTGGATTAATAAAAATTGCATGTGGAATACATAAGACTTCAGAAAATTGTTGCAGCCAACTCTTGATTTTTTGCCTTTTCCTGAAGGTAAGCATCTGCTTGGAGTGCAATAGCAGCAAACTGCGTGGATTGAAACGAAAATGGATTCGTTGCTCTGCACAAGCAACAGTCTTGCATCTAAAGAAGTTCATTGCCAAAAAACTCAACCTTTCTTCTTTTAATGAGGTAATGTTTTAGTTTTTAAAAATAAGTTTACAGATACAAAAACTTGAAAGGGGTGGGTTTGTTCCTTTGTAAAAGAATGTCTTTTATTCTGATTTTATTTTCAGAAAACAGAAGCATACACTGTTTCTTGAATGCTATATATGTTACATAGCAATTTTCTTATCCTTTCTTGGGTCTGTACAGGACTTTCCAGTTAGTTTGCAGTGCATCTTTTCATGTGCATTTATAAATAGTTGAGCAAAAAGGTTTGGTTATATGCTTCCACATGTGTTCAAATGGACTCTGGCAAGATGATTTCTTTGATATATTGTAGTTGAGTTTATCTCAAACATTTTAGGAAGATTGCACTCTACAGGGGCCAGACAGAAACACTTCAACAGTGAAGCCCCGTTGAAGAGAAAGCACTACAAATATGTTGTTCTTTTCTGTGCTCTTAGTGAAGCTCAGTCTGAAGTTGCTGCCTACCACAACCAGATTGTTATCAGATGCCTACTTTTCCCTGTCTTTACAGGGTATCATGAGAAGAATTTAAGTTGAAAGGTACAGAAAAAAAGGCAATACTTTGAACTTCTCCTAGATTCAAAAATTAAAAGTGGCAAACTATGAATGCAGCCCCTATTTATCACTTGGCTGGATCTTGGTAACAGTTTCTGGACATCTCAGTTGACTCTCAGCTTGACATCTCTCAAATCCATATTATGACACGGATTCACTGAATTTCATTAAGACATTTCATACAAATCAAATAATCTGCTTTCCAGTCCAGTGTGTCAACACCTTGCTGCTCAATCTTGTCAACAGCCAATTTGCATCTCTATCACTTTTCCTCCATAGCTTCTGTACACTTCAAACTAACACTCTCTCTCTCTTATGGTTCAAGTATGTCCCCAAACTCTGCCAGTTTTCCTGAAACAAAACCATGTATCCCGTCTTGTCCTCAGCTGGCTCAGAGGTGGTTGACTCCTGGCTTTAGCCCAGCAGCTAGATAGCTACAAGGATTGTTCAAAAGGTTTTTTTTTTTAATATATTCTTTTGGTATATGCGAGTGTAAGCCCTCTGATGCAGTGTGCCAAGATGTGACTTAAGAATCTACTTGGTTTCTACTGAAAGAAAAACTTTTCTGGAGTACTGTTTATTTTTTTGTTATCCCTTTCTGCCTTCTTAAAAATACATAAATGGTCATGTAATCATTGTACTAGTACTAAGTCATATAGAAGGAGAATTTGAGTACATGGTTACTTGGTTGCTTGATACAGACTGTTTCAGGTTTGAGTTACTGCTATGTAAGTGGACGGCATGCACATTCAGGCCTTCCTGGGCTATGGGGTAAAACATTGTAACATAAGCCAACTTGGTGGAACTTGTTTTCATACATGTTCCCTGGTTTTAGTTCATGTTCAGATATTGTAGTTCAGCTGATTAGTAGTCATATGATCCATCATACTTTTAGGTTGAGATCCTCCCTGTTTCTAATATCAAGATTTTTAAAAACAGAGATAGAAAATAAAAAATACCTGTTAAGTATCTGTAAAACCCCTATAAATGTAGCATATAAGTATATGGCAGACAATGTTTTTTTAAAAAAACCTCTGTCCTTGTAACAATGCCACCTGACTGGTGTTAGGTAAAAAAAAATTCATAGTATGCTAAATAACAGCTCTCTTTGAGATTTCTCTCCCCTTGTTCATGTATTCAAGCTTTTTAGAAGCATGTAAAGCTTTCAGGAAAGGACATTAGTATTGCTTGGGAAGATAAATCAAACATTAAATCCATATCATACTATATTTCTTAGGCAGGCATTGACATGGTCTTTCAGTACTTTATGTTGAGAGCAGATTTTATCTTGTCTTTCCTGGTATGATTTTTGTCTGCAGGGCAACTTCAGGATTACCAGTTCCAGTGTCTTCAGAGAAAATAAGTCTTGTCAAATGTATAGTAATATGTGAAATACGTTGTTTGGTGCATTGGGTCCCAGTGAATTAACTGTCACCTTTATTTTGTCAGCTGGACATATTATGCAATGAAGAGATTCTTGGCAAGGACCATACGCTCAAGTTTGTAGTTGTTACTAGATGGAGATTTAAGGTATGACACAATGATTCAATGTAAATCATGAAATGGCCAAATAAAATGTTTATAAAATAGCGATAATTTGGAACTGTACTGCAGTATAGCTTTATAGAAGGTACTTTTATAAATATCTACTATGATATCCTTAGACACCAAGTATTTGTTTGTTTCCAGTAAGTGAAGGAAAGGAGAATTAAGTATTCATTGGAAGAGAAAAGGGAACACTGTATTAGTTGTCAAATTGTTATCAAGTCTGTCAGAGGAAGTAGAAGCTACAAAAAGTGTTATTTTTAACCCCTTCAGGCAGTAAGAATGAATAGCAAAACAGAACACTTAGGAGGAGAGTCAGTATATGTACACACGGAGTTACTGGAACAAGAAGTTTGTATTTGTAATGCAAAGCCAACAAATTCTGAGCATACAGTGTACACTGAGGTGAAATCACTTGGTGGCTTTGGATGCATATCTAGAAGAGGTCCGTGTGGGAGTAGAGAAGCATTTTTCTGTCTTGGAATTACAAAATAATTGACCTGTGTAAGAGTCGCAGGGTAAAGTCAACGGTCAGTGTTAAAAATACAGAGATGTCACAAGTGGAATCCTGCTGGAATCTGTTTCATATGGTGTTTCTGAATGACCTGGAAATGGTCTTTACAGTTCTGAATGACAGGTGATTAACAAACACCTGAAGTTGAATGTAAGTATAGATTAAAAGATACAATGCAAACATTAGGGTTTTGTGGTGTAGCAGAGAGAACCAAACAGATTGATGTGCATCTATACAGTCTACTCTTCACCTGTGAGAGATCTGTGTAATTGTGAGTCATGTGGAAAGCAGAACTGTAAACTGCCCTCCCAAGTGAAAGAAGTGGTGGATGTAAAATGGAACTGAGACACGGAAGGTCCAGAACAAACAAGCTGAAGTAATTGTTTTTATGAGACACGGAAGTCCATGGTGCAGGATGTTGTGGTGTAAAAGTTTGCCTATTCATAAAAAAAAATCAATGATGCTTTCACAGAAGAGGAATCAAGTGAGACCTATTAAATGTGAAGTACCACATACTCTAATTTCTGCTTTCTGGACATCCCTTACTTCAGGGAGTTTTCCAAGATAAACAGATCTGCTCCTGAGATTAAGGGGAAAGGGTTCTTTATTACTTGTTTGAGCCCCACAGATGAAGTTGCACTTTGTCTTTGTCTTGGTGAATTTTTGACAGATCAGATAGTTGCTCTTGTCTTTATTGAAGCTTTAGTTTATGACACAGTTTTTCCTACTGAACAGATTAGTTCTGGATTTGTTTCTTAACTTACTGGTATTTCTGTCTTGCAGAAAGCACCTCTACTGCTACATTATAGACCCAAAATGGACTTGCTGTAAGGGAACTTAAGTGTCCTTTCTGGACAGAGCTTTTTGCAGAGACTATCATCTGGCACCTTCTTAGTGCATCACTAATCACATGACACAAACCAGCTGAATAATTTTGGAAGACTGGAGGGCTTTCATAGTGGGCTGTCCTGAATATTTCTTCTAGGGATGTGTTACCTAGACTTCTGGGCAGACAATATTTATACTTTTTTGTATGGAAGAAAGAAGTTTCAACTCAGCAAGACACTACCAGCATTAAGTTTACAGATACTGAAAACACTTCACAGTTCCATGTAGCTCAGCCTGATTTGTCTCTTACAGTTACACACAGAAAAAAAGTTTGAGTGTTGTGGGGTGATATAAATATGTTGCTTTTGACATCAAGTTGCTTTAGTTACTTCTCGCATTCTAAATCTTTAAAAACTATATTTTTGCAAAGTGTTATTGTCTTATATAGTATGCCTGATTGCATTGGCTTTATTGAAGTTATTCTGTAGAGCATTGAACATACCTGATAATACAGTGACTGGTGATAATTTATTATGCTGCATTGAAAACTTAAGAAAATCTGGGAAACCAGTAAATTTGTCATTTTTGCCCAGTTATTGCTCTCCCTCACCTTGTGTTTTAATAAAGTTTTGATACTTCTGTATACGTGTTAATTTGGTAAGACTAATAGAAATAATTTCAGTTGATTTTAATGTGCTGTGATATATATTTTGCTATGGTATAAATTGCACCACGTAATGACAAATACTCACAAGTGCTAGATTTGTGAATTTCTTAAAAAATAAACATTTCTTATGTATTTGTGGCTTGCAGAAATCAGTTTTTAATTTAGAGAGAATTTGCTATCACTAGCTATTGAAACAGTGGCTCTTGGACAACTGTGGGAGTATTGTAGGTTTTTCATTTCACTGATTAAAACTTACAGGCAGCTTTAAATTTCTTTAGCTGTTTTCTTACAAAACCATAGCATTTTCTGTACTGCAATTCCAAACTTACTTGGGGTGGGGAAGAAGGGGGAGTCAAGACAAGATTATTTTAGCACCTTTTGGCCTTAACTAGTAATTTTGCTTGCATCAGCCCTAATTGGATGCAAGGTAATACACATTAATGTATGTATGGGTACATACATCTATATACACATATAACTATATATGTTATAGAAAGCACCCTCAATGGCACTTAGCAGGGCTCACTGCACTTTTTGTAAGGCTTTTGGAAATAATTGGCTTTTAAAAAACTGTAGTTGAAAGTGATTTCTGCAAGCTATATCCACTATGTATCATCCATAGAACAATTGTAAGAACATTTGTCTGGCACAGGTGTGAAGTCACTGAAAACAGTGTATGCCCTATTATGGCCAGCTGGAAATAGTTAACCTAATTTTTGGAAGAGTTTTCCTGTCAGCTGAAAATGCTAGTCGCTATTCCTATTATTAAACCCTGTTATTTTTTGATAAATTGTCTTTTGATAAGAAGCCCTGCTTCCTCTTGCTGTGCTCCTTTGCTTCTTCTGCTAGAAAGTGTTACTTAGTAACTGGAAGCTGATACTGCAAGAGATTTATATAAACATTTTAAATATTCTTCCTCTTGAGTTTTCAAAGCGCTACATTCCTCAGCACATTTCCCTTAATTTCCCTCTCTGGAGTCTTCAGTTCTCCTTTCCCAGCTCTGCTGCTGCTTTTGCTTACCTTTGACAACAGGGCTCCTTTTTTTGATTACAGTCACAGATGTCAGGAGGAAGGAAATGAAAAAGAAATTATGTGAGCAGAGAATGAAAGGGAGCCTCCTGAATTGTGGAGATGGAAAAGAGAGCCACACAAAGGCCAGAACATGCTGCTGTCCATGCAGGTGAAAGTGTTAAGATAGCTGCATTTGAATGTTTAGGTCACACAGAACTCCACATCTGGTTCTTGTGTGGTGTTTGTGTGCATGTCTGTGATTCATGCAATCAAATTTTGCTCTGATTTTATCTTGCTGTTTGTGTATTTTTGGCTTTTTTTCTGTCTTGAGCATTACTTGATCTGGCAGAAAAGAACAAACAAGATCATGTGTCTACCATTTTTAAAACTTTCCATGAAAGCAGTCAGTGCAGGTGGTATGGATGTGTACACAAGCTGACATACTGGGCCTCTCTGGAGCTGTTTCTTACGTGATTGTTACTGTTCTAGTGTGAATAAGAGGCTGGCTTTGCCACTGAGGCCCTGAGAATGTGGACAGGACTGTAAGGGTCCCAGCTCTGTGCACCCAGAGTATACACACAGTGGCTGTACCTGATGTAGACATTAAACTAAAGCTGCCAGACAGCATTCTGATTAACCACCTTAATCAGAATATATATATATATATACACACAAACAAAAAAATATATATATACATATACACATATAAATGAGATCTGTCTACCTCAAGTGTGTGTACTGCAGGAAACTTTTGTATGATTAGATATTGACGCAGTGCTGTTAAAGTACATTGGGATTTCATTTCTTCCTTGTGTACTTGAGCAACTGAGAAATTAATTACGAACACGCAAATTAAGAAGCCTTTCAAATCTATCTCTTGCTGTAACAACTTACAATAGAAAACTTATAACTTCATAACCATCTTTAGAATCACTTGAATTTGTTATGGTGCTATCAGTATATAGAAAACTCTGTTTATATGGATACATAAATTCAAGCCAGTATTAATACCTATAGCTGGGGTTTTTGCTTGTAATTGTGTGTAACTGCTTTTGCAATGTGTTTAATCTGATAATACTGCACCATTAAAAAAAACAAAAAAAAACAAAAAAACAAACAAAGAAAACCAAACAAAAAACCCCCAAACCAACAAAAAACTCCAAAGTTACTCAGTTGTTTTTCTAAATCACATGATAACATCTTCACTTCAAAAATTGCCCTCAGGAGTGGTGTGACTCTGTCTGTACCATATGTTAGTCTCACTAAAAGACTACAGTGTAGAGCAAGGTCTTCTTTGGGTCAGAGCCTTGTTTAATTTCTGTGACACTTAAGAGACAATTTATATCAAGATTATATTGGGTAAAGTAACCCTGATACTGTTGAAAGTTGAACTAAAATTTGGACACGGCCATACATATTTCTTAGTTCTGATGAGATCATGGTAGTTGATTTTGGCTTTTGTGAAGATGCCATTACTGTGAAGTAGTTTTTATAATTTCTTACGCTGGTAAATAGTTGCAGTGAGGAAGTATCTTGTTGCATTATCCTCAGCAGCAGTGAGACTGATGAATCACCTGGGCTTAGAGTCTCACTAAGTATACTTTCATTAAAAATAAAGAATTCAGATAGAATATATAATATTGAATTTAAATAAGATTTGGGGGTTTAAATTTTAACTTTATAAAATTATTTATTCTATTTTAAGCCTTCTGTCTTATTTTACCATCCCAGTATTTTTGGTTTTAGTGGTCCAGCTTTATTTACGGGCATATAAATTGAAATTGTAACATGTTTTTACAAGCTTCTTCCTTTTACATTGAGTTTGAGTAGCTTTCATCTGTATGTTTTTGTTTTGTATGGATAAAGAGCATTACTTATGCTTTTGTGCAATAGGTTTGAAACATGCATTTATTAGGCATATGTTTAAATTGTAAATGTAGCATCTACTTACCATTACATTTAAAAGGAATGTAGATGGCTTTTCTCACTTGTTCAAATGGAGTTTTATTTGGGGCTGTTATTTGGGGGTGGGTGTGTGTTTTATGCTTTGTTCCATTTTTTATTTCATGAGTGAAATGGGGGATTTAAAATTTCTGTAAGTACAAGAACTATCTGTCAGCAATATTTTAAAATAAACGATCTTGCAAGAAACCTTAATGTGAATTGTGGAAGCAATCGACAAGACTTGCAGCCTATCTGAAAATGTTTTGTGCCATTGTTAGGTCTGGTATATTTGTGTACCATCACACCTGGGAATATTTTTTCTGTGGTTGTGCAAGAGTATACACAACACTGTCACTCAGGAGATATGGGACCGTAAAAAATATCAGACTACAACTATGATGGTGCTATTTTTTCCAGTAGGCTATGAGCCTTTGAAGCTTATCTGGCTCTTATTGTCTTTATAACAACACAGTCCTAGGGGATATACAGATTTTTTTTTTTTTTTCTACTAGATGATAAATATAACTTGCTGTTTTACAGCATACTGCATATTACATTGAGATAAAGATATTAGGAAAAAGCCAACCAGTCTGTACATCAGTGAGATGAATCTTAGGTACACATTTTGTACGGAAGGCTTTACTGAACAGAAAAATCAAGTTTCTGCTTTTCCTCAGGTAATCACTTCAGTTTGGATGTTTCACTGAAAACATTAATGCAACTTTAGTTAGTCTACCTAAAGTTGGTAACAGAAATTGTTCCACGCACGAATCTCCCTACATAAGATACCATTAGATGTTACTTGGGTCTTTTGAGATCCATTTTTGAAGAAAAAGTTGCAGAGAACAATACTAAAGAACATGGAACAATGCTTCAGTCTCTGCTCTCATCAAAACTTGCAGTCAGGACAAAAATTACCTAGAACTTGGGTCTTGTGGCAAATCAACAGGTAATGTTTTACCTGTTTATTTATATACAAATTAAAGGTATGACTCTACTGTTTGTTCCATATTTTATCCTACTTAAGAGTTTTTTGGAAATCTTTTGAAGCCACAATGACCTGTCCATGTCCTGGTCGTAGGGTAGGAACTACATGTCCAATTCTATGAACATTTACATTGGTAACTTTAGTAATAACCTGGATGGTTCCACAGAAACCAATGGGTTCATTCATGCAAACAGAGGTATGGCTGAAGGAAGAAGTCCTGAGTTTTGAGTACTGATACTCCACTATTTTTGTTATTTCTGTTTAAAATGGAAAGTATTGGTTTGATGGAATCTTTAATTCAAGTGACTTATCTGGACAAAAGGAAAGTTTGTTCTTTCCTTCTGCAAACAGGATCATTTTGCAGTTAAGGGACAATTAGCCAGTGCAACCACTAAGCCTTTTATCCTCATATGTGGTGTAATAAAGATTCTGGAACTGTCAGAGTGTAAAACCATATTTTTGGCTTAGCTTCATTTAAAAGTTTACAATTTTTTATGCTTTGTGTTGCTGTGTAATTTCTGTACTACTGGTGGCTAGTTTTGTCTGAATAAGCCTTTTGGGGATTAATGCTTAATGTTTTGATTTTATGATAGTGAAGCTTGTATCCAGTGTTTTGCCAATGAATATTATATGCTTGTTAATAAAAGCAGAGAAACTAACTGAAATGCTGTGAGGCTGAAAGTTTTTGTCCCATTCTTTTGAAGGAACATAAGGAGCTAGCAGTCACTGTAGCACTGAATAAGTGCAGTGTGACTGAAACAGAGGTGGTGTGGCATTGCATTGTCATAAAATCTGCCTTTTACTCAAAACAGAGGAATGGCTTAAAGTATTACTCCACTGGCAGTATTTCTGTGACAAGTGTGTGTCAAGTAACTGCCAGATAGGAAATTAAATGGCTTCAGTCACTGACAGGGAAAACAGCATTATCCTTTATGTCTTTATGTACCTGGATAAAAAGGTACTTTCCGGACCTGTATTTGTTCCTTTCAACCTTACCCTTACAACCTTACCCTGGTTGAGACATTAATAATGCAAAACAGATGCTACAGTAGGTGAATTTCTTGCAGTAATGCAGATGTATAGCTTGTGACTTGCTCTACATGCTGGGTACCTTTATTTATACTCTTGGCTTGCTAGGGACTGCCAGCAACTCCAGGCTGCTTTGAAGTCAGTTTTATTCATACATGAATT